TCGGCTGTGGCCAGAGTCACAACGAAGCGCCACAAAGCATGGCGAGCCCTTGGTAGCCGCATTTCTTGTGCAGACCAGGCTTTCTGGAGTCCTTTCAGTCGCGTGCTGGGTCCAAAACTCCAATCCTCGAAACGCTCCAATTGGGCACTAGTTTGCGCCGCGGTCAGAGGTAGCCGTGGCTCTGCCCTCAATCAACTTCTCCTTCGTCTCAGGTGTCAACTTTACGCGGCTTCGCGTTTCAAGTGTTGCGTTATTTGTCGCACACGCAGTGGTAAATTGCGACGGCGGTGGAAGCGGATTCGCCCGAGAGGCTAGATTGAAACCTCTTTGGCCGCAGTATTGACGCGGGTCCTTACCGCTGCTCTTGTAGTCATCAAACGGGCAAAGGAAGCAGGAGGGTGTTCACGTTCCGTCGCAGCCTGCAGCTGACAGATGCAAAAGCTTCGAGGATAGTCAACGTTGCGCTTGCTGCCCTGAAACAGAACCCATCTCCTCGACCGAGCGGTCTTATAAACCAAAATCATATTCCGAATTCGGCAGCCGCCCTATATTTTTTGTCATTCGGGTTTGAGGGAGGGCCGTCCCTGTTTCCAATGCGCGCGTTTAACGCTTCACGGATTTTGACTGCGTCTCACGGCGGCGCCGGTTGCGTCTTTACATCGACGGCAAAATCAGTAAGCTGCGACAAAGGGCTCATTTGCGGAGTCGTGGTGGCTTTACTCTGCATGCTAACTCCACAGCAGGAACATGTCTCACTCCGGGGAATATAAAAGGGACAGAGCCTCAGCGTGCTCAACCCCATCAACTAGCAACAGCATCATCCTCTACCAGCAAAGCACCTTCACAAAACACAACATCATGCACTTCAACTCCCTCCTCACCGCTCTCATCGCGGCCGCCACGGCCATGCCCCACCTCACCCTCTCCGCCCCCATCGCCGCGCTGGCGCGTCGAGAACCCAACCCCATCGCTCTCTCTGACCTCCCAGCCCTAGGCCTCCTTCCCCGGTCTCCCATCCCCGAGCCCCGCCGCAGCTCACGCGAGAACGAGGTCCGCGGCGGTGAGAACGAGAACGAGAACGAAAACGAGAACGAGAATGAGGGCAACGGTGGCGGTCGCGGCCGCGGTAACGGCAACGGCAACGCTGCAAAGGCTAAAGGCGTCGCGGCCAAGGGCAAAGGAGCCGAGAAGAAGGCCGCCGCAAAGAACAAGGGCGCCGCGGGCAAGGCAAAGGCGGCGGCGAAGAAGGGCCAGGGCAAGGCCAAGAACGCCAACAAGGGCAACCGCGGCAGCAACAACGCGGAAAAGAAGAACGGCAGCAAGAACGCGGGGAAGAACAACGGCAACGGAAACCGCGCGAAGGAGGTCATTCAGGCTGCAAAGAAGATGGCCGCCGAGGTTGCTGCTAAGGTGGCCGCGGCTGCGAAAGAGGCCGCTGCGAAGAAGGCCGCCGAGGCAGCCGCCGGTGCCAACCAGCAGGAGGCCGCTGTTGTACTGACGACCACCGAGAGCGCGGCGACCGCGACGGCGAGTGCGGGTGCTGAGGCAACTGCGGCCGCCGAAACCGCCGACACTGGTACCGCCACCGCCACCGCCGCAGGCACCGAGGCAACCGCAACCGCTGCTCCCGTGGCCGAAGTTGCTGCCGCGGGCGCCGCCCCCGCTGAGCTCGAAGCCGCGGCGGCCGGGCAGAACGGCCAGGGTCAAGGCCAAGGCCAGGGAGGCAAGCGTAACGAGAACGAGCGCGGGGATGAGCAGGAAAACGAGAACGAGGATGAAGGCGAGAACGAGGCCGAGGCCGACGACGACTACTGAACGCAATGCCAACGCGCTGACAAGTTCTCCTGCGGGCAGGTACCCAGGGGTTGGAACTCGCCAGATTACGTCTTGTACATTGCCGTGTTGAATATGGTGCTCTGTAAATGCGAATATAAAAAACACGTGTGTATACCAGTTACTGTGCGGAGATGTTAGCATTTTGAAGAGGGGAAGGGATAGTCCTAACCTGGGCAGCCAAAGGCGCTGAAGCTGTCGACTTGAAGGAGTCGAGCGAAGTGAAGGCTTTTTTGAAGATAAATTTTTGAACTCCGCCCAGCGCTTCTGGCAAGCGGTGGTCGCAGCGTCTCAAAGCTGCCAGATGGCCAGGTAGGAGATATCGATCCCGGCACTGCTGACCTCCGCTCTTTCGATCTATGGTGTAAAAAGACAATAGTCCGTCGAACGTCGAGCCTTGCTTGTTGATCATCCGGCCCTCACTCTCAGCATCCCCGCGCACTCATCGACATCATCAGACACTCTGATCCCCATCGATTCGACTCGCTCCTGCGGGACCAGGAAAGGCTGACCCTTTGCAACGTTTTGCCGAAGGCGAACGGCAAAAGGTTGGAAAGAGTTTGGCCTCCATCGACAATGCCTCCAGTCGCCCCGACATCTAGCTCAGCCACCGCCGCCGGTCGCTGCCAGCTCATTTCGTGGGAGTCAAAAGAAGGATATTCGTCCCTCCCGTGGTCGGATGCGGTCCGTTGCTTGTTTTTCGTCAACATTCGGCCATGGGAAATCCACAAGCATGGGCATGCTGAAATAGTGGCGGATACTTGGAAGCATCAGCGTAGCCGGGCAGAGTCACAGCTTGCGAGCGCCATGCTCGTCCAAGAGGCCCTCCGATGACAGCAGTTTCACACGGCCCGTGCCGCTACTGACTGGGACGCAGAGACTGGACTGGCGCGAGGTTCCCACCGGATGCTCCACCAAACAATGTCAGGAGATCATTCGCGATCGCTCGTGCTTAAGGGGCGGCAACCAAACCGGCCGGCGTGGCGGTGCCCGCCTGGTGCAGATGCTGATCGAAAATCCATATTTTAGCGTGCCATGACGGCCGACGTCGGGGAGCTGATATGGCAATGCAACGCTGCAGGAGGTGTGTGCGGCTTCATTGAACGAGGAGCCCTGATGACACGGCTGTAGCTGGGTGCGGCCAAAGTGCCTGACAGAGAGCTATAGCCGCCGATGGATTCATGTGAGCTCCGAACCGTGGATTTCATTAGGCTCGCTCGTGGCTTTTGTGGAAGAGGTTCGTTATCCTATGCCTAATGTCAGCGCAGCTCAATCGGGTAGGAAACCAACATTCTCAATGTGCTACTTACTGGGGATGTGAATAGTAGTCGGCGAGGAAGAGCTCCCGTGGCAGGTAGAGGGCGATACGGAGGAAACGCAAAACCCCTCTTGAACGTTTGGGGAAGAATCTCGCGGAAGGACGGCACTGCGATGCTTCGAAGAGCTCGACGAGGAGCATGGTTGGTTACCTTTGCCAAGACTCCGTGGTAAGCGGTTGATTTTTCGAGCGCCTTGCGGCGATGAGGCTTCCCATGAGCTAAATAGGTGAGCAGGTGGCCACCTCATGGCCACGGCGCATGGGAAGTGTGTTTTGTCTCCCGCCGGACAGGATTGGAGATACTCGTACCCTGTGTCGGCCCGTTGTCTTAGAAGACCAAATGCCAAGAACCGTCGCCCAAGCTCGAAGAGTGGCCGCTGCTCGGCTACTACTCCTGCTCAAGTACCATCACAAACTTCCCATCATGCAAGGAGTTGGTCCTGCATGCGAAGCACCACACTTTCATCAGTCAGACGCGTCTCGGAGGCTCCCATGTACCGCCCCGCTTCAGCCAGCCCCTTCAGCACGTGCACAAGTTCCGGCATATAAAGTTCACCCCCGCATCGTCAACCTCAATTTCATTCTTCCCTCACCTCACCTCTCAGAAAAAGAAATGCACGCCCTCCTCCTTCTGCTCGTGCTCCCGGTCGCCTTCGCCCAGCCCTCACCCGACCCGCCAGCCTCAGTCCCGTCGGACTCACCCGCGGCCCCGCCCTCCACCTTCATCCCCGCAGATGCCGCGCCCGCCCCGCACTGCCAACTCATCGCCCAGTACACACTCTGCGCCACCGCGACCCGCACTCGCGCCGCCGCCTGCAACGACCTCGTCCGCGCCTCCACCCCGCTAGCCCGACCCGGAGGCGGCGGCGCCAACGTTCTACCCGCCACGCCGGGCATCGAGTACTATGAATGCCTTTGCGCCGCGATGACGGTTGGATTGTTTGGCTCCGGGTGATGTTGACGTTTTTTTTAGGAAACGATCAAGTGCTACGCTTTGTGCCCTGATGACCCAGCGATGCAGTTGCAGCGAAAGGACGAGGAAGGCCGGATGTCGGCGTCATGTAAGGTAAATGATGCTCCACCCAAACTCTCGCGATTAACAGCATCTTCTAACGCAGGCCGTCGGTGACCTCCACCTCCAAGGCTACTCCAATCCCACCACCGGGGTCTCCGCCAACGCCGATACCACCGCGCGCGTCGCTGCGTCGCGTACAGCTACGACTGTCCCCAAGGTGGTGTTCTCGAAAGATCGCGCGGAGACGGATGGGGCGGAACGGAACGCGGTCGGGTGGGCGTTGGCCGTAGCTGTCGTTGTTGGGGTTTTGTTTGCTTAAGGAAGGGTTGGGGTGTAGTGGGAAAAGTATTTGGAATATTCCAGTGGGTTCGATTTGCTGCATGGGCTGCCCATGAGGGAACCTTTGAGAGAAGTAATAAAAATGCGAGTCGTCGTCAATGAGCCTTTTGCTCTTTCTTACACAGAAGATGGCTGGGAACGAGAAACCGGGGTTCAGTGCATTGTCGCGGGGGAAGGGATGATAAAAATTAAGGTTCGGAATGGTTTTGGCCGGCGCTCGAGCCGCTTTTTTGATTCTCAAGTTGTTCACGCCTGTTTTTTGAGGCTTCTTTCGCTTCTTTTCCGCTCCTTGTGAATAATACAGCACGCCTCCGATTCAATTATCGTCCGTTAGACGTGCAGCTATAATTCCCGCATCTTTTACCTTCAGTTGCGTGGTTATTCCGGCAGTAAACCATGCCCAACACTGACAGTTCCATAGGGGGTAAATCCACTTTTATTACTTGGTATATAATGTACAATGTTACACTTTTGAAAACAAGCAAATAAGAAATACCGACCATAGCTCAGTTGGAAGAGCATCAGACTGTAACGGTTCTCATCCGAACCATTTGGAATCTGGTGGTCCCCGGTTCGAACCCGGGTGGTCGGACTCTCACCCCGACCATAGCTCAGTTGGAAGAGCATCAGACTGTAACCGAATCTGATTCGGATTCAAATGTTATCTGGTGGTCCCCGGTTCGAACCCGGGTGGTCGGACGTTCAACACCAACGCGCATTGGTGGTTTAGTGGTAAAATTAACCGTTGCCATCGGTTAGCCCCGGGTTCGATTCCCGGCCAATGCAGAGATGGCAATTATTCGGGTTTGATTCCCGGGCAATGCGTTTCTTTTTTGTTGGTTTTATGTCAACACGTTTTTTTTTTGTCGTTCGTGTTGTATCTGTCGCGTTCCTGCTCTTCTTTTTTGTCGAGATGCAAGCGCAATACAGCCGTATACAACGGCGCTGACTGGCCCCGGGTCGCAAACTCAGCTTTGATTTAGGGTGTTTCTGCCCGCTAACCGCCAATGCAAAATCGCGTTGTACTGTTTATAGTACGATGAAGGTTAGTGAGTGGTATTGCTCTAAAGAGTTCATCATGTATAATCCATCCGACATCTGCCTTTTATCCGGGTTTAATTCCCGGGCAATGCGATTAATTTTCTTTTTGGCATTCCGTTTAGGCCTCTTCTCTTTTTTGCCCCGTGCTTCCCCGACGTCCTCATCGCGTTCGATGCCTCAGTCCGCTGTTTTCGTAGCCGCAACTGGCCAAGCAAGCACCCAGTTCCCATCCACCAAGTAAGTGTAAGCCAAAACATGCGAGCAGAGAAATTCCGCGCAGCAGCTCACGCATCATTTTTTTTTTTCATCAGTCAGATATCCGTCATTGAGAAACTATGACTGTGGTCTCATTTCAAAATGGCATGCTCTGTACATCTCCTTGCAACAAATTCTCAAAGAGCGGCTCCGATCCTCCACACACACACACACCACCGTTCGCTTACGAGACCACGATGACGTCGCGACTATATGAAACGTTAATGGGAAACTTGCAGATTCCAAAACATTTCATCATCCGATACTTACGCGTCTTCTGGCTCCTTTCTTCCTAGATCCTCCGCGGGCATCACCGTTTTGAAGCGGAGCATGAATGCCTTGCGGGTGCATTCTAAATGGCAGAGCCAATGAAACGGCGGGTTTCAATCTGCCTAGCCGTGCCTCACAACGGCTCCATAGATTAGAGACGCGCATTCCGCCGTCGCCACTTTGAGGCTTGGGAAGGATGTCGCATTGCTGATGAAGTCAGCAGCTTCCGGACAAAATTCCAACCTCAGATGAAACCTGGTTCCCATTAACGTTTCATGCGATCACGATGCGTTTTTGCGCGGCATGGTCATTACGGGAAAGCGGTGAAGGAGCGGCACGCGCCGCACCTATTCCATATCGTCGTTTCATCTTCCGGAAATGCGGAAGTCGGCGGTCAGTGTTTTTCTGTCTCCCAACTCCGTCCCTCCCAATCCCTGGACCCGCGGAGACGAGGATGCGTCTTCGCTGTTCCGCCATGAGGCGTATGACTCCTCAGACATGTGTTTCAGAAAGCGACCAAAACGGACCGCACGAAAAAAGGAGGACTCAAACTCAGCGTCGCACCGTTTCTCAAAACGCAAACGAGTTTCAGTGCTTCACCTGTGCGCCGCCGTAATGTGTTGGCCAGAAAGCTGGCGGACTTCGGCGGCGGCTTCTAGAGGTAGACATGAACAGCTGGAGCGGCGAGGCGGCGGTGGTTGGTTGGGCGTTGAGAACCTAGGCCTCGGATCGGGATATAAAAGAAGCGATGCCCCAGCATACGTCTTCCATCATCCCACCACCCGGCCCCTTCCAATACCCTCCCATCCCCAATCCCCCCCTACCCCCAATACCCCCTCCAAGCAGCCCTTAAATACCCCTAGGCCTACTCCGCTGCACCTTCAAGCATGCACATCTCCTCCCTCTTCAACGCGGCCGTGGTCGCCGTCGCCGCGCTCGCCACCCTCTCCCTCAGCTCCCCCGTCGCCCTCCGCAATGGCAACGCTGACTCTCTCCAGCGGCGCAATGTCGCAGCTGCGATGACCGCCGCCGCTGCCGCGAGCACCGAGACCGTCGTTGACGCGGCCGCCGCCGACAACAGCACAGCCGTCGAAACCGACCCCGCCATCAACGGAACCGGGACCGAGACCGCCGCCGCCGTCAACGGAACTGCTATCGAGACCGCCGCTGCCGGTAACGGAACCGCGATCGAGACCGCCGCCGCCGGAAACGGAACCGTCGTCGCCGCCGCCACCGAGACCTCCGTCGCCGCACCCGCAGCTGCCACCACCGCCGCGGCCAACGAGGCCGAGAAGAAGGCCGCCGGCAAGAAGAAGCGTAAGAACAAGAACAAGAACAAGAAGCGGAAGAACAAGAACAAGAACAAGAAGAAGGCGAAGAAGAACAAGAACAAGAAGAAGAAGGCCAAGAAGGCGAAGAAGGCGAAGAAGGGCAAGGCAGCGGCCGCGAAGAAGGAGGCAGCAAAGGAGGCGGGTGCCGAGGCGGGTGCCGCGCCAGCTCCGGCGGCCGCCGGGGCGATTGTCCCGCTTGACGTCGAGGCGTCGACGGCCGACGAGGTTGCGGAAGACGCCGCGGCGTTCGACGGCACCACCGCGGAAGCCGCTGACTTCGTGGCGGACGGTGCGGCTGATGAGGGCGCGGCGGATTTCGCTGCCGACGCGACGGATGCCGAGGATTTTGCCAGCACAGACTTTGCAAATGGTGACCCGGCCAATGAATGAGCTTTTTTGCGACCCCCTTTGAAAACCCACCTTCGTTGATTGCTCGTACGAACTGAACCATTCTTGTTTTTTCATGTCTTCACCTGCACATATCTTGTTCACCCTTGCACTCTTGGATGCCCAATGTCATCTACCACCAGCTGCATTCAATATACCTGCATTTGATATCCTTCACGCTCAACCGTCCCCCACTGCTGCTCGCTGGAATGATCAGAATCCAAGCATTTGCGGTTTCCAAGTCCGTGAATGCTCAGAGTGGATGGCGATCTCGCTGGAACTTTGCACATGTTGAACCATCGGCGATCGTAACTTCGATATGAAATGCAATCCCAAGCGAATGGCGGACGTAAATGGGACGCATTATCCCCGTTTATTGCCCATGATCGTTCTAGATCTAGTTGGAGACGACTTTGAATTCCGAAAAGGTCATCGGGAACGAGGGCCCGTTGTCCGGGGCGGCCGCCATGAAGCCGATTTGTAAAGGGTTGGTGTCCCACGAGTAGCTCTTCCTCACCAGATACCACTCGGTGCCGTCATACGAACACTCGATTGTGATCGTCCCATCCGCGGTCCTCTTCAGCCGCATCCAAAAGTCAACGCCCCCGTCGGCCGATGCAGGGACTCCCCACGGTGCGACGCTCCAATCCGACCCCTCTTCGCCCCGCGTGATCACAACCGACATCCGCGGCTTCCCGCCCCACTTTTCCACTCCGGCCTTGATCCAGCGGTCGTTTTCGGAGAGGGGTGCGGCCAGCAGGACGATGCCGGCCTGTTGGTATTCAGCCGGGAGCGCTGGGATCTGCGTGCGGAGGGTGAAGGAGAAAGCGCCGTGGGGCGACGCAACAGTGTGAACGTCGGCGTTGCTGAAGGCTTTTCCGGGGCGGCGGTAGAGGTCGGTGTTGGAGGTGGCGGTGAACGAGATCGACGGGACAGCGCCCGTCAAGAAGGCGGTGGCGGACATGGCTGAGGTGAATTATATCTGCAAAAGTTTTGAACTTGGAACGCAACGTCGATTTGGAAGGAGGCATCTGCCTCCAGCATCAGGCGGCGCGGCGAGCAAGAGTTGCCTTCCCGTGGTGATCGCAGGTGGACTTTGCACCAGTTTAGCCACGCGTTCTTTAATCGGACCCGAAGCCTCATCGCGCAGCTGAAGTCATCCGGCGGCGGATACGTCGTAGCTTCAGTCGCGGTGTATTACGCGCCACGTCAAAGGGCATTCCGCATCCGACGTAAACCGCTGCCGGTTGCGCGAATCAGCGCGACTTTGGCAGCGTCGACGCTGTGGCGACTCAAGTTGGAAGAAATACAAAAAAATCTGCTCCGTTTGGTGCAACGGCAAATTTGAAGGAGCTCCAGGACGACGACGGCCCGCATCCATCCGAGCGTCGGTCGCCGCTGATCTCCCCGCTACATCCCCGTCGATTCGAAGCCGCGGCCTGCAGCTTGGACTCGGAGGGCATCCTTCGTCTCGCCACCGTCGCCTGAGGCTGCGTGCGTCCGCAGAATGTACAATCATCCAACGTACGGCTCGGGCGGCGGATACCCGCAGCAGCCGCAGCAGCAGCAGTACCAGCAGGGCAATGCGTACGGCAGCCAGCAAGCACCACCGCCGCAGCAGCATCAGTATGGCCAGCAGCAGCAGTATTCATACACTCCCCAACAGCCGCCCGCTCGCCAATACCAGCAAAACTACATGCAGCAGGCCCCGCCGCCATCCCAGCCAGCACAGTACGACTACAACCGCCAGGATAGGCCGCTGCCTCAGCCGCCCTCACGCGGAACTGCACCTGGCGTCGCTCGAGGTCCCCGGATGCCTCCTCCGCGGGACGGATACCCCCCCGACACCCTGACTCCCCAGTTCCAGCCCAAAGCCAACCTGGGCAGCAGCCGCAGCGGCACCATTTTCCGAACCCAACGCAACATGAGGACAACCGCGCGGCGGGGTGGACCCGCCTCGTCCGGGAAGGACGAGATCGCGCTTGCCATTTCGGCGAGTTTGGCGCAAGAGAACCAGGACGAGAACGATGCTTACATGGGGGCGCTGATCTGCGCGCTGTACCCATTGTCGGTTGCGGAAGGGCCAAAGGCGGTGCCTCCGCCGGCACCCGCTGTTACGGTGTCTGCCCCGTCGTCGGGAGTGAGCGCATCCGCCAGTGCGAGCAACCTTGCGTCGACTGGGCTTAGCTTCATTCACAACGAGTTGTCGAACTTGACGGGCTCTCTTTCTAATTTGGGGCTGACGGGTCAGAAAACGGAGCAAGGTGGTGGGACGAAGGTAGCTGGAAACACCATTATGCTTTCGTCGTCCTGCGTCGAAAACTTTAAGTCAAGGTATGGTTTCTTTTGTTAGATTCCACAAGTATACCCTATCTAACGAGTGAAAAAGGTTGAGATCAAAGGTGGAAGTACTTA